TTGTCAGTACCTAGATGATAGATAATATGCTTTGCATTGATACAAGGAAGACTAAGCCCTCAATTCTCCCCGTTGTAGGTCATTCAACTTCAGTATAAAAATATCTGAGAATTCTATTGATCATATAGATTCGAAGCAAAGTCTTGGGGTAACCTTCGATCGCAAACTCAACTTTGGCCACTATATTGACGATTCCTCTGCTGAAGTTTGTCTTACACTTCAAAAACTTTGCAATTTAAATCTGTATTTGTCTCTAAAGGTTAAACATATCATTGCGTATTGCTTTCTCATGACGCATGTTAACTATTATATTGACGTCTTTTCTGGAAGTCCAAGGTATAACCTAGATAGTAATGTAACTAGATAAAAGTACCATGGCTTTATAGTTACTTAATAAATGAATAAGAAATGAAATGAAAATATAAATAATATTGTGTGTATCAAGTTCAATTTCATATTTCAAAGTTTTCCTAAGAACTGAAGATATAAATTTACATGAATTATGTGAAACTATTCTACTTCATTTCACAAATAAGATTATTTCCATTTACGTCTGTTTAATTTTCTTATTTTATTTTTATTTTATTTATTTTAATTCTACTTATACATGAAACTCAACTAAACATATAACAGTCGAGTTCAATTGGGACTTAAAGCAAAACTTATATTAAATTAATAATAAAACTTAGTATAAGTATAATAAAACAAATAAGAAGGAAAAAAGAAAAAAAAAGCATGTACACTATCAGCATAGAGCCACACATACAACCTGTACAGGACCAAATTGTAAATGAACCGCCAAGCCATCGCAAACATGCATAAGCCTGGTAACCGATAATACTTAACAATAATTCATTTTCCAATCGTAACGACTTTTTAAGGATAAAAGCTAGTTTAAATACGACATAGGTAAATCGCGCGTATTAAGCAATGTTGCTTTAATGGACTTTGAAGACTCCGATAACGAGAATAAGTGATAGACGTCATTTAGGTTCTTGCAAACTACTTTGAGCGGATTAAACAGTTCGTAATTATATTTGCATTGACTAAGCTTAACCAAGATAAAGTGCGTAGAGAAGCGCTTAGAGACATTAAAGCGTATTTCACCAAGTAATAAAGGCGAGTCAATTGCACCATTTATTACTTTGATTACGAAGGAAACGCCAAGAACAAACCTACGTTTCTCAAGAGACGGTAAGGACAGTAGAAGCAACCAATTTTCATAGGGAGGAAGAGAGGCAATCGGATGCCAACCCAAATTTCTAAGGGCAAACAGCAAGAATTGCTTTTGAACACATTCAATTGAATCTACATAGCACCTATATGCAGGAGATTATTGATTCAATTATTGCAAACAAGTAAAGGCCAAATTTTCCCCTTATTTTTCACATATTTTTTTGGAATAAATTTCCAATGACAAAAACCATACGTAACTACCAGCCAAATAGCTTTCAAGATACGAGTGCCCACATGTTTTTGTTTATATTTTCACGGATTTCCTTATTTTTCTTATATAATAATAAGGTAACGCGGCTTCTCATTTTGTTTACCACTTGGGACTTTTTAACATGAAAACGGAATATCGGATTATTGTGTAAACTCTCTAAAAAAATATGGTATGTATATAAGCATTATGTATATAAATACCTTGATTTTTACAGGACTGAACAAGTTTAAAAACTGAACGGTTCGTTGATACTCCAGCACTTAATTACGTATTTTGGTACTTACGTAAACTAGCTCTCATTCGAAAGGCGTACTTTGAGAACTATTTGTGTGGGACTTATGTATGACTTTCGGAACTTATTTTGAAAAAGTAGTAGGAAAATAAGGGACAGTTTACTTTTATTTTATAAAGTATATTAACACATTAAAATATGAATTTACCTGCACAGAAAATGTAGTGTTTTAAAATAAATTGCATATCAACCCTAGCTTTGCATAATATAAATAAAAGCTAACTTTTTAACTTTCACAAAACATGTTAAAGTGAATTTATTCTTTATATCTCTTATTTCAATATGATTCAATTTGAAAGTGCAGGAAATATTCCGGTTGTTATTTCTTCACTTATTTGCCTTAATTGGGACATCTTTAGCGAAACATATACACAGTCGTTGAAGTAAAGTGCAGAAACTGTAGAAGTTAAATCCTGGATTTCCGTTGTTTGCACATTATAGTGCGTGCAAACGTTGTGAGAGGTTGCATAAACATTTGCAAACTTTCCCGTCTTCCTTCGATTGTATCTGCTTTTCCACTTGTCTTTTATAATACGCCGTCGACCTTGGAAAATGTAAAAGCTTAATTTTAATTTTCGAAAAGTGAATTTAAAACTCACCTTTATATACATCAATGTTCTGTTCTTCACAACTTTATAAAATCATTTACTTACTTATTTCCAGCTAACGTAAGAGTATTTGAGATGTTGGTGTAATGCTAAATGACATAATATAAGGGAAGGAACCATTCCTCCTGATGAGTATATATTTCTCAACAGTAGTTGATTATTTAATAAGAGCATCTTACTTGTTTTTTTTTTTTTGTTTAGTAAAATAGATTAAGTCAGTAAGTCAGTAAGACCAACAAATTCAGTAGAGTGATGAATTTTTATTTTTTGTTGATCCTTTGCATTTTATCAATGTTGGCGGCAGTATATGATGACGTATGGAAAGCTTTGGCGAATTAAGATTTGTAGCTTATAAGTATACAAAATAAAAAAAAAAAGAAGAAAACTGAGGCCTTGATAGCTAAAGCCGATATGTTAAGTTTGATTGTAGATTGTTGATTTGTTGAAAATGTTGTGATGATAGTGCTGCAAAGTTTGACTGAAAAAAAAAATGTTTTAGAAACACGTTATGATTGAAAGTAAAGAAAAACAAAAAAACAAAAAAATTATCATGAATCGAAAAGATCGATTCGCTTTCCTAATAAAGCTAGCTGGTTCCCAGAGATGACATACATTTCTTCCTGAAAAGCGGTCGAGAAGGCCACCATATACATTAAAAACACCAAAAGAAGTTCTATCATGAAGCTTGTGACATCTGAAAATTAGATGCTCGGCAGACTCGCTAATATTACAAACTTCACAAAGATCACATGGTTGTTGAAAGGTGTGGTTAGGAATTGTGTCCAATAGGACACATTTTTTGTGCTCCGCTACTCTTTAGCTTAGTGTAGACCCTTCTTGTTCGTTAAATGTTAACGTGATGTTGACATTTATTAAACATTATTGTGTTGCAATGCGTCGTTATTCTAGAGACGGCTTCCTGAACAGAACTTCTGCTTTCATTAATTTCGTAGATTGTTGGCCACATGGAGGTATAATAGTTATTGAAAGAACATTTTGACCTCTTCGGTTACGGTGGTGGTGCCTGTGAGTTGCGTTGTTTTACAGGAGTGTGGGAAGCAATGAACAATGTTTTTGCGGTTTTGGAATTTAAACCTAAGTGCTTAACTAGACCACAATTTAATTAATACTTCTTTAAAAGTAGATATTTCAAATAATTTTGGAATATTAATGTATACGTAATACTCATTATTTGTCATACTTACTGACAGTATGAAACTTTGCAGCTCAATTAAGACTATTGAACATTTAAAAAGAAAAACAGCGGGAGTGAGGTGGTTCATTTTTGTGCTTATCAAGATTACATATGTAATATACATTGATTTCCTTATCTGATATTTATTACAACTTGTCTTTTATTTGAATTTACAAGTATTTTTTTATTTTAATGCGATATGTTTAGAATCGTAGCAAATTACCATGCCAACAAACAGTTTCAATGCTGTGCCTCTAAAATTCAAACTTTAAGAATGCAAGCATTGATTTAATGACAAACGAAAAAAAATTTCCGTTTTTAAATGTCAACTTTATCCCAGAAAGATTTTCATAAAAGAGAACCAAACTAGAGATGCCAATGCTATATAGTATTTTTCGGGTTTCGGTGTCTGTATGTTAAAAACATTCGGTAATGTGTTAATTTGGAAGCGCACAAATAAACCGAAAGAAAGCCAGAAGAAAGTGGACGAGAAAGTATTTATCTAATTTACATATCTTTTTCGCTAATTTAAATTTTGTCTGGAAACAACTGTCGTTTATAAAACACAAGCAATAAGGGCGATTTATTTACCATTTATTATACATTTTTCAAACTAGAACATTTAAGCAATTCTTTTATTTGGTTTAACTGCGGCAGTGAAATCCACCTCAACGCTCGTTCTATTAAGTTTCTTCATTTTTTTATATACATTAGTCAATCAAAAATTTAATTTGCTTTTACATTAATTTTTTATTGTCATTTTTCATACATTTATTGTTTATATTTACTTGGATTTCTTTATTTCTCAAATCATGTGTTATTATTTACATTTTTCTATAATAATTTTTAACCTAAAAATATGAATAATGCGCCATTATGTCAGCCCCCTTATTCAACGCTTTGAAATCCCTCAAGGAAAGCATAGCTTCATAGAATTTTCATTTGACGATTTTAGATGATACTGTCTGAAACTTTGTTCCTATTGTAGTTTCTGATGAAGTGGTCTTTCAACGATCCCCACCTCACTTTGCACTTTTTACTAAAAGTGCAGTTCTTTTTATTACACTTATGGGATATGCCCACGCCTTTTTCTCTGATCACTTCATTCCGAAAGAATAGGACGCATCCGCCTTTTGTATGCTGTGTAACAGCTCTTTCCTTGTTTTTTTAAACTACTACTACTAATTAAAAAGCAATTTATTTAGTTTAGCTTAATTTATCCTTGCTTGCGCTGGTGTTCAAATAATAAAAATGTAAATAACTATTTTAGTTTTATTTAAATTTTTTTGATTTCTGTTCGTTTTCCACAACAATAATAAAAATGCAAACAAACATTTTAAAGTCTAAGACCAAATGTTTTTGTTTTGTTTTTGCAAAAAAGTTGCCGCTTTCGTTGTCAAAAGCGACGCACTCCGAAATTTTAAAATTTTCCCAAAAATTTGCGTTCTTGAAAAATTTGCAAAAGTTTTCCAATTCTTTTTTCACTAAATGGGCTTAAAGACATACACGAACTATCAAAATAAAGTTGATTTCATGTATCTAAATGTAAATGAAGATGAAATTTGCGTTTTGAAATTCATTTGTCCGCGGCTTCTGAAAGTGGTTATGTACATTTAGTAGGAAAATTTTATTGTAAAAATATAATTAAATTTTAAAATAATATACTTTCCTTTTCTTTCTTTTCATTTTTTTAATTTTAGCTTCTTCATTTAAGTAAAAGAATGTTAACCATAGTACTTTTTTTTAGCTACTCCCGTAAGATATGTGTTCTTAATGCAGAATCATTGTGTTTGCACTTTGCACTGGATAAACACTCAATTTTATTTTGACAGTCCGTGCGCAACGCGTAACGTAAAATGCAGTCACTGGGCCAAGTGCTTAAGTATATTTAGCGAAAAAATAAATTAGAGCAATTTAGGAATTATTTTGAATACAGTTAACATTTATATATATTTTCTACAAAAAATTGTGAATAAGAGAATACATCAATCTTTTTACATTTCTAACGTATTAAAAGTCTCTACGGTATTATGCAATGCAAAAGCCGCCCATTAGCTTAAAGAATTCTACACATAAAAATATTGCTTTCTTTAACTAACTTAATGCAAATGGTTTATGTGTACGTAGTGCTTACCACATTGGTAAGCGTTACTTGTATGCTAGGTGATAATTTTGTGGATATTACACAACACCCGTTGTTAAGAGCCTTGGTCGACAATGCTACGCATGCAGCCGTTGGTGCCTTATCAGGTGTTGCATTTGCCGTACAATTTTATGGAAAGACTACATATTTCTTTGGTTGGTTATTGATGTTTACATGTTTCGCTTGCTCTTCTCTAATAGATATGGATCATTTTATTGCAGCACGTAGCTGGAACTTGGAGGTAATTATTAAATGAGTTACTACTTTCAGAAAACAAAAAAAAAAAAAAAAAATGATTTGGTCATGATTTTTTATAGGATGCAACTAATTTGACCTGCCGGCCTTTTTTACACTGCTCCACAATTATTTTACTTTTGCTATTTATCTATTTATGTGTGTCTTGTTTGAATTATATGAGGTGCAGTTTATTGTTGGGTGCTACGTTATGTGCCTTTGTAACACATCACACACGTGACGCCCTCAGGCGTGGATTTTGGTTTTGTCCTTTCGGTCACACCAATCGTATATCAAATTTAACCTACATCTTAATAACAATTATAACACCATATGCAATAAGTTATCTGCACGGTTTATGTCGCAATCTGATTGTACAACAATTTGTGGGTCAATTTATTAAATTGAATGACAGCCATCTTGAAGACAAACGCGGTTACCGTTACATGCAAGTGTAAGTACTTGCCTTTGAATAACTGTGACCTAATGAAACTTTCAGCTTTAAACGATTCTTTTAAAAAATAGTCAATGAAAAAGATCAATTATTTGTAACAGTAACGCTAAGTGGTAGATTTATATGTAATACGTGAAGTGCATTCGAATCCGTTTATATATTGCAATTTCCATAGTGATAGTAAGTCTTTGCGTTAAGATCTAATTGAAGTATGTGCCTATATTCAAGCAATTTCTATCCCAAATGCGCACCATTTTAATCGTCAATCTAATTAAAAACGAAAATGTTTGAAAGTACATATAACAGATAGAAAACTAATTTACACATTTAGTAAGCGGTTTTTAATAGATTCAATAAAAAGAGATTGTGATAAGTAGCCAAATATTAGAAAAAAAAAAAAATAATACATATTAATCATTTTACTATGCACGAGAATGATTTTAATATTATATAATATATCTACAACTAAGTATCTTTTTTTTTAATGAAAACAAAATTATAATAAATACAATCAAATATTCAAATCAAATTTGTTATTTTGTGCATATAGTTGCGGATCTTTAATTTTGTATATATCTCTTGCAATAAGTAAATAAATTTCTTGTTAGAAATCTGCGTATATTTTTAATGACCGTGAATAAGGAGATTAATTTAGATACATTTTTCGTTTGTTTGCGCTTCGCCAGTCTATTGAAATCATGGTTAGGGTATTAAAACTATTCGTAAGGAAACGAATCTGACCTACAATTTTTGTTATCACTTTCATCAGATTATGTTAAAAATTCAGCAATTGTGATCATAGGTCTGCTGAATTGTCAAAAAACTGATAAATTTTCTTCCTATTCTTTTAACGTATTATGGCAGGAAGTTTATCACAGGAATGTCTGACGTTCGGAAAACGAAAAGATTTACAATTTAAAGTTAGACCCCCCATTATTAGGTTTTGTCTGTACAGAAAAGTAGGGAATATGTTCATTTATTTACTCAGCAAGAAATAGAAATTATGAGCCAATTAAAAATATCTTACAACTACACAATATAAGAAGATGATAAGATAAGAGTAAAGTAATAGTCAATCTTCCAAATGAATGCCGTGTTGAAATCTGAATACTTACTTAAGGAACCAAATAAATAATACGTGGTTAAGTTTAGAAATTGAACGCAATAATAAGTAAGTAAGTAACTAAGTAACTAAAATAGTAAGTATAATTTTTGTAAGGGACAACCTCAATAAATGCTAATGAATTCATTAAACTAAAAGTAAGAGTAATAGCTAAGCAATATGCTAGCGGTATACTTGTAGGACAACAGTCGTAGCGACGTTAATACAATTCAATGATGGATGAAACCAATTAAGATTATTATTATAGATCGTACAAAGCACCCGGAAAAGTACTATGTAGGGCAGTGGGATAAATAAATATGACTCGTAAACCGACCAGGTACATCAAATGAAATTCTCTCATGTAGGAACGTTGAAAATGTTATACTTTTAATCAATTTTACAATAAAGATTACTTTCATCATTTCATGTATTTCTTTCATTGTAGGTAAATTAACGAGGATTAATTTGTCTTCTTAAGAAGGACGTAAACGAGTATTCCAGCCTAATCCACGTAAAGGAAAGCGTAAAAGCTTCAATAGCTACATGTACAAATACAAAACAACAAATATATGTTCCAATATTGTTCGGAGAAGAGCAGTATACAACAGTTTAGTAATATAAAGGTCATAGAATCCTTTTGATCATCTCTTTGCAAAGCTAATATTCGATTTGGCTTTATCGACGGACGGTTCAATATGTAAACTGAATTTCAAGTTTGGAGTCAGGGTAACTCCCAAGCCATTAAGTCTGATTGCATTTCCAACTTTCTTTTAATAACGTAGGTGGAGAACATCATAGTGGATCAAAAAGAGGACAGTTTGCAGCACTTTTTTAAGGTCAATGACATACTTTCAGCCATACTCCACAAGAACAAATTATTTAAATCAGATTAAAGACTGGTTATACGAGTGAGTCGACGGTTTGACAAGTGTAGATTATTTAAAAATATCATAAAGAAGAGGGGACCAAAGTGATTACCCTGGTTCACCCAATGTGACCACAATCGCTATCGAATGACATATATTGAGCAATATTATTTGCGTATATTTTGACTGATAGTTCTGAAACAATTGTATCAATATATCCCAAATACTATGTTGTCTCAACATGGTCAACTCTGCTTTGTTATTACAAGATTTGCAAGAGAATTTGATTCGCATCTATCATGCTAATGATATTAAATGGTAACGTGACACAAAGATAAATAGGACTTTTTTTGCCTAAACGTTGTATTTTTGCTATTATTGACGTGTGAATTGAAACGCGTATTTACAGCTGGAATATGGGTCGGGGTATTCCAGTTGGTACGTCCTACGAAGATTTGTAAAAATAAAACAGCAAAACTATGAGACTTTCGGTATATTCAAGATGTTGTACTTTGTTCAATATTTGACATATATTTTTGTCTAACACCGAGTTGGTCGCAATAATGCAGGCAAGTACAACGTAGCGATGTAAGCTCAAAAAAATTGGCATATCGTGGTTAATTTTACAATTCATATATTATCAAAAGAAGGTCACACATATCACGACTCGTTTTATTGATTAGCTTTCGGCATACAGAATTATTGCCTAGATACTTAGTTTCGCGGTTTTACTTGATTTAATCGTTCTCGCTGACTGCTGGGCACAATAAAGAAACAATCAAGTCAAGGTTATTTATTGGAATTTAATTTCAAGAAAGGTAGGTTACATGCAAAATACAATAATTCATCCCATGATTTTCTTAATGTAATTCTTAGATTTTTAAGAATATAATAAATTTGGTTGGAGAAGGAAATGTCAAAAAAAGGATTTCTTTTATGTGTTTATACTTAAATCTTTGACTATGTACATACTTTAAATTAAAGCTTGCATCTACAATTTAATACCTAATTAATAGTCTTTTGCTTACATATTGTTACTGTACAGAGTTATACGCTAAGGTCATAAGATCATGTTCATCTTTCCTCCGTGAAAAGTACAACTTCTGGTCTGTGGTTGTCGCATTATCACTTTTTAGCGTAAGTAAAAAGTCGACACTTGAATAAAGTTGCCTCTATAGTTGGTTCGCGGTAACGTTGTACATGAGCTCTTATAAAACAATGTTTTCTAAAAACGTGCATCTTTCCAAACAATTGACGGTTTCATTTTATTATACAGAATTTGATGTAAAATATTTTGTAATACTCTTAGATATATGCATCGTACAACACTTTGTATGTTATTACAACTCTGTGTTGTAAACGATTCTGTATTATTGTAATGCCAAAATAGGAAAATTATTCCTTTATTCATTCTGGACTTTCAGAGTTTCTTGTGTCTATTGAATATTAAATAAATATATTCTAATCCAAGTTTTTCAAATAAAACTGCAACTATGAAGAATGTGTCTATTTTGTTGATATATTGCTTGATATATTTGTGTCAAGATGGTCTTTTAAATTTTGTAGAACTTCAAATTATAGCATTGGCTCACAATTTTATTCTCCAGTGCTCTTAGTCCGTCAATTAGGTGAGAAGAAATTTTTGACCACACCGGGAGAGCATAGCTTAGGAGTGTACAGGCTGGTGTTTCTTTACAGATTTTTACATTTTATGGCAATCGCAGAACATTTGTCAATATTGAGGCTGAGTTTCTAGGCCTGAGAGAATTTTGACGCTTTCATTGAATACTTATTTAAGATTTTGTTGGCTATTGTCGCTTTCGCAGGGGAAGCAGATACCGAACAATCATCGCCATAAATAATTCGACGGCTTTTGAAGAAGATGGAAAATCACTAAGGGATATGTTGCATGGTCCATGGCATTGCAGGGCATTGTGGTACTTCTAAATTTTCGTAAGTGAAGCTGAATTGTTTAATTTAACATAGAAAGTTCGCTCATTAAAACACCGCTGAATTAGGAAACACCGTTGTGTGCTGAATCCATTTGGCTGCAGTTTTCACAGTATTCTGGTTTGCCACGCTGTATCAAAGGCTTTGGCAATGTCTAAACTAACTGAAATATGGAATGTTACGAGTACTTGGGTTGTAGAGTGTAAATTGCATATTGGTGAACTTTTTGTAATATAAAACATTCAAAGAGTTTGCTAACTAGTGTAAATTTCGAATCAGATCCCGACTTCAGCGTAGGCAAAACGATCGCTTTTTTCCAAGATGATGGGGATGGTATCTTATGTTGATGCAGTAGTTGAAGATAGTATCAGTGTATGTCCAAGCTGGAGCGGTAATTTTTTAAAGTACAAAGTTAAGAATTCCATCTGGCCCAGCAGAGAGCTGATGTGGAGAAAGATGAAGAGTGCAAAGATGCACTGATGTAGATCAATGGTGAAAGCAAATCGAACAAGAATCGCGTCTAAGCCCCTTCCTTTTGCATTTTGTTTGACTGTTCTTTAAAGTTTGCAACTACTTGCAAACAGAATAGGAAGTTTTCACGTAAATGTTTTTATACTTTTTATTAAGAGTTTTAAAAGCTGCATTGCTTTGCTTGCAGCATCTATGTTATCCTTAATTTCAGATTTGAAGCGATCTGAAAAGGAAATTCCGTTCACCATATTGGTTTTCAGAAAAATATAATTTCTTATTTAATAAGTATTGCTTTTTGCTAAATATATATTATTAAATAATATATTATAGCTTCTGTAGCAACAAATAGTCTCGGCGGGAACAGACGAGTGGTTTAGGAATGCGATAAGAACACTCGATCTTTAGGAACCTCATACGACTATCTGGTGTACGGAAAGCAATTGACCAAAACTATTTCGTAGATTTCGACATTACTGTTTGTACAATGGGCAAAATTGGTTTCGCGAGAATCGCGTACTACCAGGCAATGTTGAAAATGTAGATTTAGAAAGTGGTTCATTTCTTGATTGATTTTAAAGGGTGTGAAGTTATATTTAAATATAACTAGCGAAGACACAAACTAAAATTTTTTACAGAGCTCTGTAAAGCCGTTAACAGAATTCAGTTAAACGAAGTCTCGGAGGGATTTAAATCAAAATACAAGTAAAATAGAAGTTTTTGCAAATTTTTTTGCAAATTCTTATAAACAAAACATGACTTTATGTAAATTAACTAATATTCGAAACCAAAACTTTTTTACACTATGCCATAAATGAGGTTGATAAAGCGAAAGTTTATGGAGCTACTGTGACCAAACCATGTCCCTTGAAAAAATGAAACCAGCACAGAGTGAATCCTCTATTAATAGCCTTTCCAACGGTGTGCGGGTTGTATTAAGTTTTGGCCAAAGAGTTTTTTTATGGGACATAGGCTAACATATAAGCAAATTTTAAAAGACCACTGTGGGCAAACCATGCCCTTTGAAAAAATGAAACTAGGACAGAA